TTGCGTGTGTGTTTAAATGGTTTCCAATAGAGCTGTGGTCAGATAGATGTAACGTAAGGCGTCTGGATAGGCATGTAGTTGTGTGACCAATGTAATTATATATTCGGTTTGATCAGGAAAACAGTTCTTTAAAGGGCATTTGAACTCGTAGATCATGTTCTTTCGTTGTAATTTTGATTTTGTTGGTGTGTCCTAAAAAGATAACACTTGTACGAACACAAATGAAATAAAAAGCTTAACCACAATACCTTGTCTATCGTCTTTAATGAAACATGTATAAATGAAGGATTGCTGCATAAATACATAATATACACAGGTTTTACCCTGAAGATCCGTTTAGATGAAACCTGGGTAGGTTTGCCTGGCCCCTAAGGATTATCTTAAGTTTTGCTCTACTTAGTGTATTGAGCACGTAGTTGTCTTTTTATTCTTTTTGGGTTTTTGTTTTCTTTGGAGTTGGAGCTTAAACACTGGACGATTATTTTCGCCTTGTTTTAAAGTTCTTGGTTCTTTCTTTTTTATACTCCATTTTTCCTCGGGTACCGATTTGTTCGACTGCAAGTTGAGCTATCCGAGGTTTTTTTTTCCAATCGAATAATTATTTATTTATATATATATATATATATATATATATATATATATATATATATATATATGCATGCGTGTGTGTGTGTCAGTCTTTTAGGAATATCTATGATGAAGTGGAAAATTATATCTTGTGTTGCATTTCATTCGTTAGGAATTCATCGAACTAAAGTGAACTTTCGTTGGTGTGGTTAGGCATTTGTATGAATTAGAATGGAGGCCGAAATTTCAAATTTAAATTTATTTTTTTCTTAAATTTGTGTTTGTATACATAGTCCCGCCAATTCCATCTAGTTTCTTTTTCTTTCTTTCTTTTTTTGGTATTAGGTATCCCACATTGAGATAATAGGATATTTGCCAAGGAAGGCAAAACATTTTAGTCCAATGAAGTCCTAAAGAGCAAAACGCGTGTTACGAAAAATCTTTTTTTTTTTTCGATTCCCTCATAAATTTTATTAAATTGTCCTAATTCATTTTTTCTAATGTATTAGCCTATAATAACGATGTTTATATATTCACATTTATCGACACCATTTCGAAATATTCTTATTCAACATACTCTCTTAGAGTCTATGTTTGTTTTATCGAGTCAGAAATGATTTGGAATTAAAAACAAACAAAAAAAAAACAATGAATGACGAAGTTTCAGAGAAAAAAGAAACTAAAACGAACACTTATGCTTTAACGTTAGAAAGAGACGGTTGGAATTTCTATGGCACATAATGAGGAAAGTGGGCTTGGAAAATCTGATACTCTCAGGACAGACTGAGGGAGAGAGAAACAAGTAATCAACGCATAACCTACCTGACGAGATTGTGTATAGCGATAGAGGAACAGGGCTTAGGAGAGATAACAAAAAGATAAAAAATATTAAGAGTTACAAACGACTGGAAATTGTGGAGAGCCATAGTCACCAATGTCCTGAAGGGATACGATTCATAGCAGAAGAAAAAGTGATTAATATCGCGAAGACATGCCTTGAAAATGCTGAAACCCACTTCTGATAATCAGCAAACGGTTCTCATTCAGGTGTACATTGCATGTTCAATGTTTCTTTAAAAAATATTTTTGCATCATTCCCTCCTGGGTAAGACGATGAACTACGTCCGCGCCCTGTGTAAGACGATGAACTACATCCGACAGCAAGGCCCCTGATCAGGAGGTTTTGAGGAGCATGGAACCACCTCTTAATTGCTGGTGTTCCCAGGTCCACTCTGACCCGTGGTGGTAGCACCTGTTAGGGTCACAGCTATGGGCAAATAGTTAACCTCTAAACTGGGCTCAAAATACTATGAAAATGTAAAAATAGGTTTTAATACCAGAAATACATTTTTATAAAAAATATTAAAAGCAATACATTATTACCAGCAAAACATTTTTTTAAATATTACCAGCAATAGATTTTTGAAGAAAAAATTTTACCGGCAGTACATTTTTGGAAAAAAATTTACCAGCAATAAAAGTTTTTTTAGGCATTAAATAACCCATTGATGTTGATATGCCGTAAAACAAAACAAACAAAACCTAATCTGCAAATTCATTTCTTACAAAGAATACATATTCTAATCCATCCTAAAAATCTTGTCGGCATTAAATAATCCATTGAGGTCGATATGCCGTAAAGCAAAACAAATAAACCTGGAGATGGCTGTAAAGGGCCAGACTACTCATGAAGAGTAGTGAAAGAGAGTTTGATGAGGTCATTCGTTTGAAGTTGAATTTGGTGGCAAACACTGCGCGAATTGAAGCCCACATACTTTACCAGAAGCGCCTCACTCGCGGCTCAAGCGGTACTGAGACAAGCGAAACTAGGCTTCATTGGGCTGCCGGATATTTAGTCTGAAAATGTCCGCCTTGGTATGCCAACCCGACAGTCGCTGACCTCTTCTGCCGATCGTGTAGATATTTGCCTATTGAACCGTTGGGGTCTTCGTGGGTTGATCGCGTTCAATCTGGTCCCTCGGTCGATCTAGAAGTCGTTTTCAAAGAAAATTATTATGTTTAGGCTAAGAAAAAAAAGAAAAAAGAAAAAAAATCTTTAGTAATCACAGCTCTTTCAATAAATACCTGACAAGGATTTCCAGTTCCTTCTAAATTCTTTTCATGCTCTTTCAGTTCCTAAAGCCCCTTGCGTCGTAGTGGCATTATCACGTCGCTTGGGGGTGAATTGATAACGAAAAATGCAATTAATAACTAGTATGCACTAATGTGTTCGTGTTGGAGTTTTTATCTTGGTCGTAATTCTGAGATACATGATGGGGAAAGAGGGGTTGGTGAACGCAAAACTCACAAGGCATACTAGCAGCGATAAAGGGCAAAAGGGAAAGAACCACGACTAATCAAGCAAATGCATTTGTGTGGATAGATTGTAGAGCGCTGACAGAGTTGAATGATAAAGAGTCAAACTTTGCTTAGAGCTACAAGGGATAGGAAGTTGTGGAGATCCATGAGCACCACACATTGAAAACATATAGCACATAGAAGAAAATGGAGTAAATATTTAAACAACTTCAGAGAGTGAACCTGTCATGTCTGATGTGCTACGGATTAAATCAAGATTTATATGGATTATGAATAATCTCTTAAGAGGTGTTCAGAAATGAATCCTGGTTAGGAAATCTTTGATGATATGCCGCCAAATTTTAATTTGTTTATTGAGCGCACTTTCAGGATACACCTGCTTCTTGTGCCAATGACGGGGTTTTTCCATTGCACTTGATTCTTGATTAATCAAGGTAGCAATTTCAAATTAATTTTCATCTTTAACCCATTCATTTCACCCGTCCCAAATTGGGTCAAGTCTATCTATCTATCTATCTATCTATCTATCTATCTATCTATCTATCTATCTATCAATTGATCACATTATTCAGATCTATCTAACGATAGATCAATCTATGGATCGATCGATCTATCGACATCAATATGCTCAAATCATTCAGTTTTCAGATCTATGTATCTATCCATCGATCGGTATATCTATTGTTCTGAATGTGTTCAGATCTATCTCAACGTGTTACATCTATCTATCTATCTATCTATCTATCTATCTATCTATCTATCTTAGTTTTCAGATCTGTCTATCGATCTATCGCTCCATTGATCTAATATGTTCAAATCTATCTATCTCAGTCTGATTATATCTATCTCTGTGCATATCTATCTATACACTGATGAGCTGCGATACAGCGAAACAGTCTGTCTGTAGATGACGATATCTATCTATCTATCTATCTATCTATCTATCTATATATATATATATATATATATATATATATATATATATATATATATGACGATATCTATCTATCTATCTATCTATCTATCTATCTATCTATCTATAGATGACGATATCTATCTATCTATCTATCTATGTATATATATATATATATATATATATATATATATATATATATATATATATATAGCTTTCAGATCTATGCATCTATCAATCAATACATCTAGTGATCATCTATCTATCTGTCTATCTATCTGCCTCTCTTATCTTTCAGATCTATCTATCTATTTTTAACTTTCAGATCTATGCATCTATCAATCGATATATTTATTGATCTCATTATGTTCAGATCTATCTATCTATCTATCTATCTATCTATCTATCTATCTATCTATCTATCTATCTATTACAGTGTGGATCTATCTGTCCAGCTACCTAGCTAGCTATCTAGTTATATATCTAGCTAGCTAGTTAGCTAGCACCCCAGCTAGCTAGCTATCCTGTTATATATCTATCTAGCTAGTTAGCTAGATAGCTAGCTCCCCAGCTAGCTAGCTATCTAGTTATATATCTAGCTAGCTAGTTAGCTCGCTAGCTAGCTCCCCTTTAAATTTACCTTCTCTCTATCCATTTCCTCTTTCTCTCCCGGATCCCTAATTATACCTCATTCTCTGACCTCATAATCCCCTTATCCTTTTCTATTTCTTCTTGTCTTTTTCATTCTAAACGCTCTTCGCCTTTTTTTTCCTTTTTGACGGGTATTTATCAAAATCCTCATTCCCCCTCCACTTTCGAACTGAATTCCGTCGCTAAAAATGTCAGTTGTTTTTTTTTTACCGCTTCAAAAATATCGTAAACGTCAAACTAGATTTGACATTTAAAGTCTATATATTTCCTCATAATTCGCATCTTCAAGTGAGCCCTAACCATTTTTTTTTTATTTGCCTTTTACAAAGCCATTCATCCTCCTGCCTCTTTTTTTTCTTCCGTTTTTAATTTCTTCATCTTTTTCCATCTCAAATTTCTCTTGTTTTTTTCTATCTCGAATAATAATGCATAAAAAAATAAAATAAAAAACTTTTGGGATATATTTATTATTCATTAGAGCCAACGTATACTTTTTGCTGGTTGGGAGGTGAGCTCGAAGAGCAGTTAGCCATTATGATGATGTCGACGTTGCTATGGCGTTACGGGCGACGTTCCAGGCGATGGTTTTCATGGGGGAGAAAAACTTTTAAGGCGAAAGGCTATTCGATATACTCATCTTCGTCGCATAATGAACTTTGCCTTCTTCGACAGAGGCGCTCTTCTCATCGCTTCGTTTCTTTCATCATTTAATTACCATAAAAACATACTGCAAATTAGAACATATATCATTGCTCCTTCTATTTTCCCTTATATATTTGATCGCTCATCTGCATACACTAATACATACATACATATATATATATATATATATATATATATATATATATATATATATATGTATGTGTGAACGAGGTGAAATTTTAATACACGAGATAACTGCAGAATGTCGCATGGGTAATGGGTCGTCAGGCAAATATTTATTACCGAAAATGTGTCTAGTACCGCTTTATTGAGCGGAAAAGCCAGAGCTATTCGTTGTCGAGCAGTAGGGGAATTTGTACGTGTTCATGATATACTCTTGGCAGAAAATACATTTTGAACACTGAATTAAAATCAAGTTTTGTGTGAATATTGACAAATGTGCTAATGAAACGTAGACTCTATTAAAAATTGCGTATGGTGAACATCCTATGGAAAAAAATGATTGATTTGCCTGGCAAAGGCAGTTCAAGAGAATGCGTTATGTGGGAATTAATTTTAAAAAAAGCATAATTGTACATATGCACATACCCAGTCCTCTCAGAGCACCACCAATTGATGTTGATCCGAAATATTATTTAGTTGTGACTCTCATATCGCCTTTTCTACTTCATGATTTAAGCTTAAAAACAACTTACGTGCTTTGCTCGTGAAGCTACATTACTCACGTTTATGAACAGAAATATCCAAGTTCAGACACCTGCAAGACACATTTTTCCTAACTAAATGTGTTCAGATCTATCTATCTATCTATCTATCTATCTATCTATCTATCTCAGTGTGTTCATATCTATCTATCTCTCTACTACAATATGTTCAAATCTATCCATCTATCTATCTTTGTGTGTCTACTTCAATGGTATCACATTTATCTATTTCAGTGTGTGCATATATATATATATATCTATTTCAATGTGTCCAAATCTATCTATCTATCTATCTATCTATCTATCTATCTATCTATCTATCTATCTACTTCAGTGTGTTCAGATCTGTCTTGGTCTTCGTATATTTGTACGCTTGTTTCACTTTTCTGACGCGCTGCTCTTTCACGTAATAATAATAATAATAATAATGAGGCCGATCTCTTCATAAATGGTTATTTTTTTTTTGTATCTAATTCGATTCATGCGGACCATTCAATGCATGTGAAAGAAAGTAAGAACAATACCAGGACCCTACCCGAGAGCTTAGAAAATTATATAATATGAAGTTTAGAATCCCGCACAGAATTACAGCTGCACTTATTTTCATTAATCTCCTTTATCGTTGTTGTTGTTATGTCTCCCATTTTGGTACACAACATGGTTATTTTTAAATGTGTATATTTGAAAATAATTCCAAACAAAGGAATGATATTTTTTCTCTCATTTTACTGACTATTAATTAATTGGTTTAATGAACTCCAAGAAATTTGAACGTTACATAGAAACATAACAAAAACAGGAAAATGACGCGCTATTATAAAGCACGTTTTTTGAAAGAATATTAATCCCTTCAAATATTGACCCATTCGAATAGTGTTTCCTTTGAATATTGATCCCTTCGAATATTGACCTCTTCAAATATTGATCCCATCAAATATTGATCCCTTCAAATATTGATCCATTCGAATATTAATTCTTTCAAATATTGATCCCTTCGAATATTGATCCCTTCGAATATTGATCCATTCGAACATTGATCCTTTCAAATATTGATCCATACGAACATTGATCTCTTTGAATATTGATCCATACGAATATTGACCCCTTCAAATATTTATCAAGATACCCAAGTAGTGATGTGGAGACAAGGCCAAAATTTAGGAATACCCGGTGAGGATCGAACTCACTACTCAATCGTAATTGATCTAACGAGTCAAGCATGCTAATAATCACGCCGCATCGAAGTTCCCAAGCGATTTACTTAGCGTAGCTTAGATATGGCACAAGGCCGAAATTATAGTGCACCCAGTGAGAACCAAATTCACTAATCAGTTCATTTAGAGAGACAAGCATGCTAATCATTACACCACGTCGAAGTCCACATAAATGATACTCTAAGCGTAGCTTAGATATGGCACAAGGCTCAACAAATGGAGCCTCCAGAGAGGACTGAATTAACTACTCTCATTTGAATTTCATGAGTGTCTAATAGATTGTACAACAATAAAATTGAAATAACCGCTAATGAAAATGTTTACTTTTAAATAAATGAACTGTAGAACCGTTTTCTTTTGTGGGGATTAGATATCTTCATTTTATTCTCGTGTCAAGAATTCATTTTTTCTTTCCGGTATATTTTGGTTACAGCCGTATTTTATGTCAATGGATAATGCGCATGGATAACTGGTTAGGTTATATGAACAGGGAATCAGCAACTTTTAACTCAGTTTATGTTGGATCACTTTTGGTCGATGTTGACTGAAACTGTGACATATCAACTCCTCTTGGGTTATTTAATTTCAACCCAAACAAGGCGGTAAGCCACTAGCACGCAAGCGGTTACAGAGAGTTGGAGCGAGAGCAAAGAGGAGTGATAGAGGAAAGGATGAAGAGAAGGATAGGGGATAGATCAAGGCATCTGAAGACGGCGATTGACATTACATTTGAATAGTTGGAGATTATAGCTATCAGGGAAACAGGAAAAGGGGAGGGAATTCCACAGGTGAGAAGTGCGAGACATGAAGCTATTGAAGTACAAGAGACAACTACATTTAATAGTTTCGATATTGAAAGGGTGAGAGCGAGATGCCAGCCTAGTAGAACGCTTAAATTCATGAAGTCTGGGAACCAGCGAAAGCAGCTCATCGGAACAGTTACCATGAAAGTATTTGTAAAAAAGACAGAGGGGGGCGACGGCACGTCTGTGATAGAGCGACTGCAGATGAGATGCCAGATCACGGCCAATTACATTGCATATCCGTCTCTGGATTTTATCAAGGACCTTGAGACAAACAGTAGGGGCTCCAGACCATATATGGCAGCAATAATCCATGCAAGGGCGAATGGTTGATTTGTAGATTTGAAGGATCGACAAAAAAAAATTCCTGGCGCGGCACAGGGTGCCAGCTTTCCTTGCGGTGGACGAAGCTATTGATTCAATGTATTTGTTCCATCTCAGGTCAGCAGTCAATGTGAGGCCGAGCAGTCGCAAAGAGGTTTTTCTCGTGGAGTTAAGCGTCAAACATTCTAATGCGGTGGGGATGGTTCCCTGTGGGAAGTAATAGAGAGCAGTTTTGTTTTTGAAGCATTAAAGCTAACCAGCCAAATCCTGCCCCAGTCTACAACCGATTGGAGGTCCTTTTCGAGATAAACGGCCAGGTTAGTTTTGTCAGCGAGACTAGATTTGTTTTTGAGGCAGAAGTAAATAGTAGTGTCGACCGCATAGATGCCTACTTGGGAACCTTTGACATCAGGAAGATCGTTAATAAGGAACAGAGTAGGGCCTAGGATAGAGCCGGTGAGGATTGAACTCACTTCTCGGTAGTAATGCTCAACCAAACTAACCTCACTAACCCCCCCCCCCAACGTGACACAGAACCTATTAAGCTACGTAGGTAGGTTTTATGATATTTCAACCCCATTTGCGTTATTTAATGTAGAATTTTGTATGGGGTGGGGATGGAACACACTACTCAGTAATAATGGTCAAGAAGATTAGTCTTACTAACTATGGTACCACACTATGGAACCCGTAAGCTACCTATTTAGGTTTCATGACTTTTCAACTCTTGTTGATTTATTTGATGTAGAATTTGGTTTGAAGCCCCCAATTAGAATTGGAATCACTAATCAATAGTACAGGTCCACCAGCTTCACTAACCATGACCTTACACCAACTCGCCTATAAATCTATGTTGGTTGAATTTGTGATATATCAACTCATGTTGGGTTATTTTATGTCGAGTTTTGTATGTGGCACACAGTGAAGATGGAGCGCATTCCTCTGTAGTGATGGTTAACAAGACTAGATTCATCATCCTTATGCACCTTAAAAACTTTTAAGTCTGCGGTTTGTGCCAAAGACTTCCAATTCATAGTATGTATTGGCATCCACTCAAATTATCCAATTCCGATGTATCTTCACCTTTTAAAATGCATGGTATAAAAATATAGTTTATTAATAGCTGTAACTGATTCGCTTTAATTGGACAAGATTTTATAACCATCCAGAGTTGAGTAAGCAGACAATAATAGAAAGGACAGAAAGACAAGAATGTGTCGTCTCACCGGACCTACCCAATATTTACAGCGAGACAATCCTAAAAGAAATAGAAGTCCTACTAGGAGAGAATCGGTGAGCAAATGATAAAGTGTTGATGAAAAACGCAGAGATGAAATTTCAGAAACTATCAAACAAGATAGCAAAGGAAACTGAGGAGTGGACAGCCTTTGTAAAACAGAGAGGAGGTGGGGTTTTCTGCAAGAGAAACAGTTAAAATGATAAGTTCAATGTGAAATAAGTACTGAAGTTCAAGTATCTGGGAAGTCTTTTACAGAAACCAGAAGGCACATTGGAATAGAAAGGAGTGACATAAAAAAAAAAACAGATAGTAAAATATTACAAAACAGGGAACTGCAGTTAGAAACAAAGAGTGCTGGACGACCATGTTATGTCAATCCTCCTATATGAGAGGGAATGTTTAACCATTTCCTCAAACTTTATGAATTTAAGCGCAGTACTAGATTGGCAGCTACACGCTTGTGCAAATTAATTTAAACAGCCGCTTTAGTTTACTTTCTTTCACATTACGGTCAGTTTTAAACCCATTAGAGAGACAAAGTGCAATCGATTTCTATTTTTGTCTCGGGTTTGGTCATTTGCATTGGTGTGCAGAAATATAAATCTCTTTTCGGGGTGTATGATGAATTTGTCCTTGAAAAATATTGCGTCATCCGTGATCAGATTTTTATAAGCTAAGACACTATTGTCTCGTCTGTCGATTAGTTGTCCTACAGCCATTCTTTGCTATGGGCATTACTCCAAGGAGGTGTACCAAAATTTTAACACTTCACGAACGTACTAACAAGCCTTACTCGTGAACAAATGAAAGTACTATAGAAACTCTCCCGATTTAAATCCAATCGAGAATCTGGGGTCAATCTACAAGGAACAACTTCGTGAAATTGACATACGAAGTACTAATATGTGCACTGAGTCATGTTTCAGTGGAAAAATACAAAAAAATGTAAATAATAAAGGAATTATTCATTTAGTTTCAATTAATTTCCAAAGGGATATATATATATATATATATATATATATATATATATATATATATATATATATATATATATATATATGCGTAAAATAACATCTTAATTTAAGTGCAGTATTAGATTGGCAGCTAGGTATCATCATTTTACAGCTAAAATGGCTAGTTGCTAACATTTTCTTTTACCGCACTTCTTGCCTGTGGATCTTTGTTCCGGCATCTTGCTTTCCAGCCAGACAAAACGTTTTTTCTTGAAAAATTTAGATGCAATATCAATCGCTATCTACTGTCCTGCTGATTACTCTTTTTATTGTTCTCGCTCCATAATATATTTCGTTTTCTTATTCTTCCACACCCAGTAACGCATTGTGTCTTAGTGGCTATATTCCCTTGTTTGGGGTGAATTCGATTAAAGAATAAATAAGAACATTTATTGCTTTTTGATTCTTAAGTAAATATTGTCTCGGAAAATTCCTTTAGACCAGTCGTTCCCAGCCGATTTTGGGCCATGGCCCCACTTTGGTATTTCTAAACTTCTGGTGTCCCCCTGTAATATTTAATTCTTACATATTCGAAATTTTAATGCAATTCACGTGAAGGAAGCTTAAAAGGCCATTAACTTGGTCTTCAAACAAGACTCTAAAGACCATGGCGTCCATGAAAGAGAAAAATTTACAAAAAACAAAAAGACAGTTCAGATATATAGTTTCAGAACATATAATAGAGAACTGAAAGGCAAAAATAAATAAAAAATATTTGAATGAAAGCATATTTTGTAGTATACTTTGATCATTTTAATCATAAAATAATAATGCAAAATGAAATTTAAGCTCTCGCTTGTATAGTAAGCCGAAGGGTGCACATCTTACACATGCCCCACAAAAATATTACTATGCTCCTCACGTTGGGAATCATTATTTTAGATAAACTGTGCTAAGCTTCATAACTAAGGTTTGATGCGACCTGTATACCAGAAACAATGATTACTGTCGATAAAGATATTATTTTTGAATTATTTTTGAAGGATGAAAAACGTCTTTTATTCATCTTTCCTGAACTCAGCGCAAATATGTTAGAAAGATGACTCATTTTATAAGTTGGAGGGCTTTGTATGCGAAGTGCAAACCAATTTCAAGATACAATCCTTCTCCGGGACTCGACTACCGAACCTCTGGTACCCAGAGAAACCACATAACTCGTTCAGCTACAACTTTGTTTCTTCGAAGTTTTATTCCTATTTCATTAACTTCAGAAAACAAAATAAAAAACATCAAAATAAAAAAAAAAACAACATATGAATTTTCGATATTTTTCTTAAAAGAAAATCGGTGACATTACGGGTTTAGTACGGGATTTTAAGATATTAAATGTATGAAAAAATAAATTAAATTTTTATTGTTATATTCACAACGTTTCGTTCTTCTTCAGGTGATTGGAATTTCGAATCGAACCCATTATTTCGTCCACCGGGATAAATAGGCAATGAAGATGAAGATAACAGTCAGAGGAATGTAAATAAAGCAAGTAATCATAATATAGTCAGTGATACGCACAGAAATTAAATTCATATATTAAATTAAAAATAAATAGAAGTATGGATAAATAAATGAATTTATAAATGAAAAATAAAAAATTGAAAGAGTAATCCATTTTATATTTAGTAATCTTTTTTATTCTACTAAAACTTTTATCTTATTGCTTGTTAGGTTGACATCTATTCGTTTGATTTTTGTTCATTAAGTAAACTCGTGATTGTTTTTGATTTTTGTTCATTAAGTAAACTCGTGATTGTTTTTATGTTTTAATGTTCTATTTTAATATGTTACATTGAGCTCTCTGGATATCATCCTCCTCAGGTCTACCCATATGGATTACCTAAGTTTGCATTATATATATATATATATATATATATATATATATATATATATATATATATATATATATATATATATATATATATATATATATATAGTAAGGCATTTTATGTTTTTATAGATGCATCTTCTATAGATATCGACCTTTGCTAACGGAAACGCACCTCTGTGTCTAAATCGGTAAAGCACGCCAGGCTATATGACGGTTCCGTATAGGATGCAGGTTCAATTCTTATCGGAGGACAGATATTTTCTA